ATCTGGCCCTTGGAAAGACCTCTTGGCAGTGACAAATGTGCATGCATTCTGATACTTTATGTCCTGAGATTTCTTCTTAGTTACTGTTCTCTATGAAAACAATGTTTTTAAAATAGTGGAGATGATATCCAGGATATTTTTGCTATTTATAATTCCCATTGTTGCAGCTCTCTGGGGATGATTAGGTTGGATGACTTCAGTGGTGTGATAGCTATTGATATAAATAACTTGCTAGAAGATTTCCTTGTGACTTCAGAACAAATTAACCAGCAAGAAAAACATTTCTGAAGKAGTTTAGTTACTTAGCTATTTTCTTAAAACCACACTCGGCACTGATCTGCATGTGGAAAAGACAAAAACCTTTAAAAGCTAATCTTTGATTGCTTAGGCTTTTCATTAAAAAAAAAAAAAAAAACAACAACAATTATCAGACACGTAGGTCCCATTTTCAGGAGTCTCAGGCTCCTTGGTTTCTCAAGCATTTCTGACTATTGTGTTTTCTGAGAAATTTAGAGAAAAGAAAGAAATGCTTGCCTAGAAGAAAGAAAAAATAAACTGTATTTATCAGTGATCAGAAACAGTGCATAGTTCAATCAGTTGCTTGGGAAATCTGGCCAAGGGACAGTAATTCTCCAAAATTCTCCACTTCTTTGAAGCATATCTAAAGGTTTGCTGTTGGAAAAAGTCTTTCCTCTGAGATTTCCACTATTTCCTGGTTTCAGCCAGGAACTGAATAGTGCAAGAAGTGCTTCTCACTCTATTTTGSTACTTCTGCTTCTGAACCCTGAAGAAGGGAGGCAGAGACATGATGTGTGTTGAAAATGTGCAAGTTCTAAGTTGCTCTTTCATGTGAGTCCATTTCATTCCATGTTTTGGTTGCAATTTTAAAGTTATGTTTTTGTGGACTAATGCTGAGGAAGGACCAAAGATTTCAGGTCTAAATAACCAAAGAAGAACCTTCTTACCACTCTTTCCCTTTCTGAGTTCATRCAACCCAARTGYTCAAACTTTGTGTCAGTGCATGTGTGTGGGTAAAGACACGCTTTGGATAACCTCCTTAGATTATCTGTGAAAACTGTAACTCTTACACCTCTTCGTTAATTGACTGAGAGATCTTGGATGAAGAAYCTGCTCTTCCAATTCAATTATTTAACCAGAAGAGACTTCCCTAAGTTAGCAATAGAAAATGCTGCCATCCTCCAGGTGCTCTCACACTTGACAATTTTCAATTGATTTAAGACAGAAGCTGCTTCCAGTCCATAACAGGTGTACAGAGAGAATCCTGTAAAACCCTATGCTTGATTTCTTGGAAAGACAGATGGAAGCAAAGCATTCAAAGGTGTCTCTGAGGTAACTGCCACTCTTGARCAGAATGAAGTTCACTCAGTTTCATGCCAGTGAAATGCTCACCATACCATGCCATGTCATTTGGTACAGGGAGTCACAAGTGTTCCTCAGCTCAGCAATGCTCCATGCACCTTGAAACTTCCCTCTCTGAGTGACAGCCCTGTTTTTCTTGGAGAATATTTGAGAAGTGTTACAGAGCCATCTAAAATTGGAAACCCCCAGAGAAAGAACAAATCCYTTGGTCAAGAAAATATGGATATATTTTGAGTTTAGTAAAACCTCAGAGACTTGCTGAAATCACCTAATCAGTCAGCAAGGCTTCAGAGTGGGAACAAGGTTGGCACCGTGCACTCCCTTGTGCCAAGGGAGTACAATCCTTCCCTGTCATGGTAAAATTAATGTGTTGCTTAAGGTAAAAGAACTGCAGTGAACCTTTCTGGGGAAGAGAAAAAAAAAAAAAAACTTAGTTGTTCTTAACTCCCTTGCATAATGAAAATCTAGAGGATCAGTATGTTTTTACAGTGAAATAAGGGCATTGTGGTGCTGAATTGCACCGCAGCCACATGACTATAAATGGTGCTGACCAGTAATAAATGCTCTAAAAAGTGTAGGAAATGCAATTGTAGGATCCCATGCAATAATCTACCCATAAGGGAACGTTTCCCTTCATTACAGACTGGTTATAGTTTGGAATGATAGATTTGCATCTTTTCAAGGCTCTGTCCTCATTTCCAGTTTAATCTAGATGACAGTGCAAGCCTTGATACAAACTCTGGGATATGCAAACATATCTGGGGGCGAGGGGGAAGCTTCACTTTGAGAGACATTATACAAAAAGATAACCCTTGGGCAAACTCATTACAATATAAACAGCTGACAAAAGTAAAAGCTATCCTATGGAATATTCTGAAAGGATCACTTTGATCAAATCTTTTCCTGCATCTATTGCAGATTGAAAAGCTGCTTTAGTTCTGGCCTAGTTTTCTAACCAGAAGTTCATCCYTGATGTTTCTTCAGGACCCAGATAAAAAAGTGAGTGCCTATAAAAGGAGTTTATCATGATTAATTTTCAGCTCTACTCTCTTCACCAGTTGAATGTGTAAGTGAAGTGTTTCCTCCATTCTTCGGCCTTCAATTGTCTGCAATCTTTGGATGACTTGGAGCATTCAGTGTCGCTAGAAAACACAGGGCTGAGGCTATTTCAAAATTTGGATGTTGTGATGAGCTTTAAAGCTCTGCATTTCTCTCCATAACCAAAGATATGGGTATCTTTACCAAAGGAGAAGATTCTCATGGGAATATAGAATAAACAAGCATGATTCTCCCTTTCTTTTTTGTCACCCTGTGCTTACTCTACCCATGACTATTTTGACTGTTTCTTAAAATATTTTTTTTTATTGAAGTCACTGATTAATGCCAGTGATTATTATACATTGGGTTCTATTTAATGAGACTCTACTCAGMTTGCCTAAGCTCTTAACTAGATCTTCTGCCAGGACTTGTTTTTAAAAAAATCACTTTTGCCCATCAAAGCAGGTACTGGATAAGGGGATAATACACTTGTTATTCACCTGAGGCCATCAGGTACTGCTGTGAGCTAAATCTCTCCAGCACCTGTCTAAAACCATCAGGAGAGACTTGGCCAGTGGATTATGYTGCCAGTCAAGTGTCATACTTTGGAATATTCAAATAGGATTTCTTCACTGAAAGTAAAAGAGGTATTATTGAAAGGAGATACTGTCTGAAAATACCAGGAGGAATTCTGTTGCTTGCTCTGGTATTTTTGAGCAACTGGTGAGCTAAGACGCTGCGAAGGCAGTTTTTTGCTGCAGAAAATTGGCCCTGAGGAAGCAATCACCCGGCAGAGTGGGGGGTGTTCCTGCCTCATTTTTCTGTGCTGCTGCTGCTCCCTGGTGTGTGGGAGAGGTCATGGTAGAAATCCKGAATTCATGAGCCACGTTCAATACCATTTCACTCATATTTGCTCTAGATGGACTGTGATAATGGCAGGGAAAAATGAATATTAACTGGCTCTCATCTCTATCCTTGGAACTGAGAGAATTTTTAGGTTCTCTATATGATATTTC